TGCTTCACTTTCTGATAATGGATTTTTTTTTCGAGTTGTAAGCCGAATCCATCCAGCTTTTATTAATGAAGGTGGTAGTTGGGTAAGAAGATTTGAATAATTTTCATGAAAAACCATGTAATTACATGAAAAATAATTTAATAACTTTAATTTATTCTATAAAATAACTATATGACAACTTTCGTGAAAAGCTATATAATTATATGAAAAAATAATTTTATAACTCTTATTTATTATATAAAATAATTATAAGATAAACCTTTATAAAATTAGATAAAATATTTGATGCATTATACATTGTTAACTTGACGCATCTCTTCCCGAACCACCCATAATAATTTGTAATGTTGAGCAAGTTCTGTAGCATAAAGACCATCAGATCTGTAGAAATACTCTAGCCATTTTTGTTGTATTACATTTACAGCTTGAATTTTCTTACCGATTTCTCTAGCACGTTCGATCTTTTTGATAGCATTCTGCATCTACAATCCATATCGATGCAGTGCATACTCATTATCATAATTATACCCTGAAATAGATTTTTTTTGGACTTTTAGTAAGTATTCATCATAACTTACACCACAGTATTTATTACCGGTACATGAAAATTTCCAATGTCTTTCCATTCCTATATGGTTATAATTTCCTATATTCTTCTTTCTTTGTCCAGTATATACTAACTGATCACAAGAGAAACATATTGCTATTCTGATTTCAGGAGCATAAGAACCACTATTTGGCAATTGTATTAATCTCCTAGCTTCAAGATATTTTTTACTTTCATTAGGTAATAGATTATTCTTTCTGAAATATATAAGACGTTCCCAAATTCGTTTCATCCACTCATTAGAAGTTTCATTATCATGAATTTTCGACATATTACAATATTCAATCCATTCAGCATCAGTACAATCAGTTCCACGAGTGCTTATGCTAACTATTTTACAACTTATTATAGTATGTTTTTAGAGATTATATTCTATTTAGACCTATTAAATTTAATAACTTTATACATTATAAATATGTGATTCAATTTTAGTGTATAAATTTATTTCAAAAAAATCGATTATAATAATATTTAATTCTGCACTTTTTAATATGCATTAATAAATAATTTAACATTACAATGACTGAAGCTAATAACAATATTGATGACAACCCAGTGGAAGAATCCATAAAAAACTTTAACCGATGTTTAATTGATATCAATGATGAAGTTGTGGAGGGCATAGTTGATTCAAGCTCAAAATGTCCAATTATTACTTATGAGATTGCAAAAAAATTTGGTTTCATAAAAGATAAAAGTTTATACAATATTACTGATAAAGCAGTATCTGATATTGTTAAGCAAGTATCAGGTAAAAAAATCTGGATCTCTCTTCACCGATTACTAGAGATAGTAAAACCTGAGGTTCATCAAGAACTTATAAACTCAATAGCAAACCCGGATATCCCTCAAAGAAATCATACACCATGCAAGAAAAAACTAATTTTTAATGATATCACATCTGAATCCTCAACTTCATCTGAATCTGAGTCTGACTCTGAAGTGATTGTAGTGAAAGCAAAAAAGCGTGATTGTCTTTAGCAAGAATTTCTGAATTGGATATTTACTAGTTTTGTATTATTCTAGACTCAAAGAGTCATTGCTTCACAATAGATATATGAGATACACATTCATTTTGATACCTTTTTGAGAGTTTAACTCTTAAAGCTTGTTCTTCAGCCAACTCTGGAGATATTCCATTTGATACAAAATTTTTATATGCTTGTATACGCCAATGACCATATGGCAAACTAGTTATTTTATCAGATAATATCCAACGCTTAGTATCTATAGGGCAAAGAGCCTTCTTTTCTGATTCAACCAAAGATAATATATGGTCTTTTGATCGAATACCTACATTCTTAGCATAGAATACTTCATTACCAAAGAGACAATCTTGATATACTTGGGTCATAGGTGAATCATTCTCTGGATAAGTATTCTTAGCCATCTCATTCATACCCTTTTTGCTAACTCCCTTATGCTTAGACTTTGTAGACTTATCTGCCAAAACATAGTGATAAGATTTGGCTCGAATATATATAGATTTTGCAATTACACTATCTGGAGTCTCATCCTTGTAAAGCCCAATAGTTTTAGAATCATTAAGATCGAAAAGATCAGATCGCTGCCATGTCTTTATAAATATCTTCAGTTTCTACTTGGAATATGAATGAGTCTGTATCTATATATCCAAGCTAGGCTTTATTACTATATCTCTCTTTTACATACCCATACCAGAAGTGATACATTAAGAGCTTACTAAGACCTAGAACTGATGCTCCAACAATAATAGGTTTATTAAGAATCACACTAGCTTTTTCCATATGTGCTCCTATAAGTGAAGGTCCAAGTTGTCTAGCATATTTAAAAGAGGGTTTACAGATTTTATTAATAAAC